GGAAAAAGTTCAAAACAATCCTTTGAATCCCAATTTTCCAGCATACTGCTGAGTTTAGAGATAGATAGCTGTGCCCTTTTGAAGGAACAAGCACCGAGACAGAAAACGAATTAAAATTTAATCTTATTGATTTCCACCAACTCAATCCCAAGAGTGAGACAGACGCTGCTGCCGGCTTCCCCTGCCTGCACTGCATCAAACCCAGTTTTACAGAGGGCTGACAGCGGAGCAGGGATGGGCTGGCGTGGCTGCAAGCACGCAGGGGCGACACAGGGGGACCCGTCCCAGCCCTCGCCACACTGCGGTGGGTCACAGCACACAACATCCCCTCCCTGGCACGGTGGTGGAGGGTGAAGTCACACCATGTCCTGACGCGACCTCTCCCACTCCTATAAATGAGCTCAGTGTTTCAGAGGAAGGCTGACGTGTACTGGTTTGCAGGGACAGGTCTGACACAAGGACGGAGGCTGCTTTTCATCTCCTTGTCTCTGAGTGGGAATCCTGCCTGGCTCTGATGCACAGCAGGTCTGCAGAGAGCCTTCAACCACCCAGACATGGAGATGGAGATGGAACATGCAGGCTTTACATTGTCACAGTGGTCAAACAGAAGGCACCATCACGTCTATATGCACACGTGCATGGTAGCTGATGGTGATTTTGGGCATGCAGGGGACACGGAGGAGAATTCACCCAGCCAAGTCAAGGTGGGCTGCTGGCATGACCAGGGATGCCGCAGTGCAGCTTCCTCCAGGACACGCTAACAAAGAGAACTCAGCCCGCCCAGCATCCCAGGAAAAGCATGGGGAGGGATTTGGAGCAATGGGAACGCTGCCCTCCTCCCCATACTTAGTAAGGGACCTGGAAATTTCCATTTTAAGCACAAAAACATCTGCAAGCCCAGGTACGCTCAATCAATTTCAAGAGAAGATGGATGTAAGGAATCCCGTGAATGGCCCAGGGGAATAAAGACACAGCTAAAAATATACACAGATGATCTGCCCTGGTTATGGGGATTTGAGGTGGAAGAAACCTGAATTCTCTCGATACAATAACACATCCCAGAGGGGCAAATTAAAGCCTGTGCAGATGCTGAGCCACACAGATACCATCTCAGAGGTGCCTGACCCAACACAGATCAGCTTCCCCCCACAGGGAAGATGCTAAAGGTCTCTCACATGGTTTAATTTAGATTAAACCTGCACCACTGTCAGTCTTTAGAGCAAGCAAGATGCCCATCACTTCCCGATCTCCCCGGGCAGCTCTGCACCACCATGCCAGCACCCAGCTCCTGGAGATGGGGTAACCCCATCCTGCATCCAAAGCGGTCCTCTCAGCTCCCCACTGCACTTTCTGACTGATCTCAGTGATTTTAGCACCCACCACTGTTTTCAAACATCGTTCCGTCTCTTCAAGGACTAACAGCACTTTTGAAAACAGGACTGGGATGCTTCCGAAAATGCTACCCACTGTTTTTTCGCAGTTTAGTCTACGGAGAGTACCAAAAATGTTAACTTCCACTCTCATACATCCTTTCGGAAACGGTACAGTTTGCACTCACAGTTAAATTCTGGCTTGGAGACATGCATGTGTGTTTTTATGTGTTCTATTACAAACAACTGCCAAAAGGTACTTCTTTGGGGGTGCACGGCTCATCTTTGGAGATAAGATACAGCAGCTCTGGTCAGTCCTGCCTTCAGGCAGGAGGCACCTGGATCTTGGGTATCAGCTACCTCTCTATAATCCAAGGCTCCTAAAATATTCCCAAATGCAACCACAGCCTCACAGTGCAGGATTTCACTGCAACCTCTCTCCACTCTTCCCCAGCACAGTCTGTACAGGCAACTCTCTTTCCCCAGAAATCAATTACTTGTCCAGCAGAGTGTAGCAAGAGAGGATTACAGGTCACGTTTCCCACAATTATCCTCTCCGATGCCAAGGAACTTTTTGTATCGTAGGTGTTAAGTAGGTCACAAGAGGGAAAAGCAGAGTGATGGGCGTTAAGCATCAGCGAACCTGAACTTGGGAGAAAATGGGATCCAAGCCGGCACCGACCTGCATCCCAACCCCTCATCCCTCCGCAGTACAGCGGTGGGAAGAATGTATAGACTTCCTGATGAACCATAAGCTAAAATTAGAAGCCATTCACCCCTGCACAGCCACAGCCATCCAAAAGGAAAGTAGGTCACAGAATGGCTGGCTAACTCGATTTTCCGGCGTTCCGAGCTGCTCTGTCCTCACGTAACCTCTCCTCTCCCAGGGCCTGTTTTTGGCGTCTCCTTTGTTCGGGGTATAACTGCACACAGTGTGCGGCTCCGGCACAGCCTGGCAGGAGCGGTGGGAATGGGCACGGCAGCACCCGTGTGCTCAGGGAAGCACAGACCCGTGGTTCATGAGGAACTCAACCAGAGCCAGGCGACAGCCCTTCCACGAAGCGCACCACCACCTCCCACCTGCTCTGGGACCGGCACAAGGGCTGGCTTCCTGCCCCTTCCACAGCATTGCTCTTCAGAGATCAGTTCAGGCTCTGCCAGCTCTTCTGGGGTGCTTCTTCCCAAGGCCTGAATATCCTCTTTTCATTTGCATCTCTTACCGTGCTGCCTCCCTCAAGCAAGCCACAAGCTGAGCGAGGCGAGTAAATCGGGATGCTCTTCCCTCTGTGCGCAGGCTGGAGCCCTGGCTCAGCCATCAGAGCTGCTTCTCCTGCAAGCAGACCTCGAGGCAGCCAACTCCACTGCTCTGCCGCAGCACAGAAGAGGCTGAAAGGCTTTAAATTTGGCTCAGGGACCTTCCCCACTCTAGATCAATGCATCTTTGTCTGGCTCAAGGCCCTTTGCTCCTACCGACTCACCTTGCAATTAAGTGTTAAGCTGCAGCAAGGCCACAGCTCAGCACAAGCATGCCTGGGGCTCTCCCCATGTCTGACAGATTGCTGGGTATGCCCCGAGGGTCTGCTGCCACCAAACTCACCCAAAGCAACCTAATGTCCAAGCACCAGCCACTCTCTTCCACCCATGATCCTAACTGATGCTGCTCCCTCGTCCTTTCCTTTTCCAGCTTTCCTCCTCCTGGCCCCAAGGGGGAGAGCAGTCACCACCAAAAGCCATCCCAAATGTATCGAAGGGAGGTGAGAGGCTCTAAGCTGAGCCTGTGGATGGCCTTTAGAAGGATAATTGCATCCTGGATCTCACCTTTGTTACTGGAACCACAACAAAGGCAGTGTTGTCAGCAAGGCTCAGCACACCCTGCCCCTTGCAGCCCACAGGTCGGCATCTCCCTGCTGTGGTACTTAAAAGGGTCCTACACCACCAAGCCTCAGCCATTACAATTGGCCAGCAAGGATCTGTCGAGTCTGCATTGTCTGTGTCATCTTCAAAGGAAGAACTTCCCTCCAGCCTGCTATGGTTTCTATCAAACAGAAGGGGAAGGGTTGTTTGGTTTGAGTCCCGTACCCACAGCAGGGCTTGCTTACATGCTACTCGCAAGGGGACTTTCCAAGAACAGGGGAAGAGCCATCATTCACCCATCCCAGGTGAATCCAGACATGAACACGGAGCCAGACTGGAAATTATGCAGACATTTGGTGTCAGACGTGACCTTCCCTTGCTGAGCACCAACCTGGAACAAGTGCACCCTGTTGCAAAGGTTGATAGCAAAGTCCTGGTACCAGACTGGCTTTGAGGATCAGCAGAACTCGGAATGAAGTCAGACATGCTGACAAATGATGCCACCATCTCTGAGCACTGCATGTGACAGGTCCCACGTATTACGGCCATGCACTTCCAAGGAGAAATGCAGAACCTTCTGACGTGGTCCAGGTACACAAGAGTGTCCAAGCAGGACAGGGCTCAAGTGAATAGGAATAAAAATGTTTGAGACCTCCTTTTTTTGACCCTAACCCCTTGCACAGGAGGCACAAGCCATCTAGCCCAGGACCCCTGGAGGGAGCACTTGGTGGTGCATGGGGAGAACCCATCACTGCCCCCAAAGCCCAATGTCTACAAAGCTACCACCAGCCAGGACTTGCTGATGCTTCAAACATATTGACCTCAGTCTTCACCCCCTTGCACAACAGACCGTGCTGGCATTGGGTCTCCTATTGCTCATGAAGAGAAGCAGATGGAACAAGGAAAACTGGGAAAATTGCACTGCCTGGGAGCGCAGGGTATGCAATTTTGTTTTCTTTTTAGGAGTTGGGCACCTGGATTTCTGCAGCTCCCAGTAAAATCGCAGGCCTCGCAATTCAGAGTAATTAGTGACTGGTAGTTTTCCTTTTATGCAAAATCATCCTTTTTATCCAACACCTAAATGAAAATGAATATGCTTGATTATCTACCAAAGGGCCCAATTTCCCACCATCGCTCCAAAGCACACAGCAAAATTCCTGTCTCCTCAGGCTGCTATTACAGGCAACGGCTGAGTGCAACAAATGAGTGGTCAAGGTAGAGATCCAGAGCCAGGGATGCCAGACTGACCTTTGCTAATGCTGTTTACAGCATCAAACATCCACAAACCCAGCCCTGGATGGATCCATGTCATTTCTGCTCCAGCCTGGAGGGCTCAGGGGCAGCCAGGAAAGCTTGTAGCTGGCCTGCCAGCATTGGAGCATCACGGATGCCCCCCTCCATCCATGCAGCTCACCCCACCACGCCAAAGCCCATGCTTTGAGGCAGCTTTCTACCAGGTTCTCTACCAGGGGGAAGGATGAAAGCAGCAATTTAACAGATAGGGCTCTGAAGCATCTCCTGAATGCTTCAAATCTAATGCTGATCACAGGAAACCCCCCAGGCAGGTTCTTCAGAAGACAACTGTGCTCAAGCCACAAGGCAGAGCGAGCTTCTCAGCCCTCTGTCGTCACCATCCCCAACAGGGCTCCATCTATCCACCTCCCACAGGGGTCTTGCCCAGGGGAATCCCCCATCCACCCTTTACCAACCTCCCCGTCCCCAGCCGGGTGTCACGGCACCATCGCACGTCTGTACTTTCACGGTTTCCAGACTCACCCTGTTCTCGTCGTAGATGATCTGCACCAAGCTGCGATGTTTGGACTCGATAGGAGGCGGGGAGATGGGTTTTTCAGGCTCTGGTGGTTTGGCTGCTTCTTCCTCCAACTGTTGCTGTGGAAGGAGAAGGGGGAGGAGGAGGGTGAGTCACAGTGAGAAACGCAGCCGGCCCCGTCCACACGCGACTCTCTGCGGTGCCGAGGCAGAAACCGCCATGGCAGGAGGCTTCCTGCGAGACACAGAGGGATGGGGAGAGGGAGGAGAGCTGCCCGACCTCCCCTGCCACGCAGGCGCAGCGCTCCCTGTCCCGGCCACCAGGCCCTGAGCTGCTGGGTCAGTGCTTTTTGGGCATGGAGGATGAGGACCTGCCTTGAAGCAGCCTCCTGGAAAGGGCTCGAGGCTAGAAATGGTTTTACTGGAAACCCTTTAAGGGAACCACAGCTCCAGCCTGGCTCCCTGCTGCTACCTGCCCCTGAAGCTGCCACTGTGCTGTAGGGAGGGAGGGGTGAGGAGCAAGGCTGCTCTCCACCTTCAGATCTATCCTGTGATGCTGTGGTTAGAGGAGACGCCCTGGGATGACTGTTCTTGATTAAATGACTTGTGCACCGGCTGCAGTGTGCAGCCAAATGAGCCAGTAACTACAGCAGAGCAGCAGTAACACCGTGACTCCTCACATCTCTGCTCAGAGCTGGCCAGATAGGGCATGTGGCAGCCCTCCCAGCCAAGGTGAGAGATGCAGAGTGCCCAAGAGGGCAAGAAACAGCTATAGGACTCCCTGCAGAGACAGCACGGTGCTCAGACATGGGTCACCAAGACAGCCCAAGAACTCAGGTTGCAAATGCCTGCAGCCATGAACACACTGTGTAACTCTGGCTGTCCCAACAGGCGCAGGAAGACCTGCAGCACGAGCCACCTTCCAGTATCAGGTGGCTTTAAGACTTGTCTCCTCCTCTCATACAGAACATGCTGTCCTGAGCAGAAACCACCACCTAAGTCCAGGCTCCAAACAGATCAAGCCCAGTAGGTGTGGATGGCCACCATGTGGGTGAGCCGCCCTCAAAGAAAGCAGTGTTGAGAAGCTTGTTTTGTTGGCTCTTCTGCTTTCTTATTGTCTTCACCGCGTTGCCACAGCTCCACATTTCATGGTATCTGGGCTCTGAGGTGTAGCAGCAGCAAAAAATACACCCCTTCAGCTCCATGTGTCTGCCTCTGCTATGACAATGCAACCCAAGGTGTGTCTCATCCCAGGCTTCACTCCTCCTCACAGCAGAAACATCCAGGAGCCCATGAGCTGCTCCACGAGCATGTCCACCACATCTCCACCACAGGCAGGGCTACCTACCCCCTTGGAAAGCAGAAGGCAGCATGTCCATATAGAATGGTTTGCACTGGAAGGGACCTTAAAGCTCATCCAGTTCCAACCCCCTGCCCCGGGCAGGGACACCTTCCACTAGAGCAGGTTGCTCCAAGCCCCTGTGTCCACTCGGGTTTTGAACAGGGCCAGGGATGGGGCAGCCGCAGCTTCTCTGGGCACCCTGTGCCAGCACCTCATCAACCTTATAGCATAGAACCTTTTCGTAATGTCTAATCCAAATCTCCCCTCTTTCAGTTTCACATATGCACTTTCGGAGATCACCGACTGTTTAATGTGAGCTGCTCAGGCCATGGCAAACTTTAATGATAAAGGAGCAGAGCCAAGAAACCACTTTTGAGCATCACGGCGGTCTGCGGGTGTATCTGACGTACAACCTGCGTCTCCATCTCTCCCAGCGGGTGCGAGCAGGAGAAGACATCTGAGCCCTTCCAGTAAGTCTGAGGAACTCCTCATCCAGAAGAGGAAATGCGAGATTGCTCCCGGCTCCATGCGAGGAGGGAGCGTGCAGGCTGCGCACGGCAGCTGTGGGGCAAAAGAGGCAGCGGCTCTCAAAACCGCCTCTGGTTTTCTCACTGCTCAGCTCCCAGTCTCCACATCTTTGTGGGTTGTTTCCCTGCAGCTAAAGCAGCCTCTGGTGAAGCAAGGGGGGAAAAAAACAAGTCTTGTACTAGGAAGAAAATGCAGCTGGGACTGAGAGCAATCGCCTCGCAGCAGAGGTGAGCACGGCACTGTCCTACCGGAGACAGCAGTGTCTGGTGGTCCAACAAGAAGGTGGGTATCTATTCCTCCTTCAGATCATCTCTACTCCTGTTTGACGGCACTAGGGGTGTGGGATGTGGTCCAAGAGAACACTCAAGCACCAGATAAGTCTACTGGCTTGGCTGAGAAAACTCACACCCCTTAAATTAAATGTGTTTCAACGGATAAAGCAACCCCATGCTGTGGTCTCCTGTTATGCTCCACCTTCCCACAGGTGGTCATCTTTTCCCATACAGGAAAAAGCAGCAGCAAAGGGAACAATGAAATATAGCCAAACCACCACCATGCCCAGCCAGACTGGGGAGTGGGCTCTGGCACAGGCAGGACAGCCTGGGCTCTGCATGCTGGCATCAGCATACCCACCTTGGGGTCTTAACCTCGAGGGTACTCCAGCCTGTGTGAGGATGGCCAGAAAACAGCCAGCTTGGACCATCTGCACTCTGGAAAGGGATTAAACTCCCTGAGCTTTGCAGGTCTCCATCCCTTTCTGCCCATGAAGAGCCACACCACCACAGCACATGAAAGACTCCAACCAAGCCCCAAAGCTCCCTTCTCTTCTCAATCATGGCTGTTTTCTCACATGGCCCAAATCACAGCCCTGTGCAAAGGGGACAAGAGCTCTTCAGAAGCCACAGGTGAAACCACAGGCTCCAAAGCAGTTCTCAGCATCAGCCCCAGTGCAAAAACAGCACTTCCAGGCACCTGCCTGCTCTTGCTCGGTGTCCTAAGGCATCTCCATCACACAGCCTTGCTCCCACGTGATAAATTCCAAAGACAGAGCCACCAAAAGGGATCTGTCAAATCTTCTGCTTCCCTTGGGGGAAATATTTGGGTAAAAAAAAAAGAGTATGGCAGAATCTTGGCTACATTGTTCTGAAACCCACAAAAATCCTGCAAAGCGGCCGGTGTGTCGTAAGTGATTTCAGACAAGAGGGTTTGATGATGTATCAGGAAATGAAAGTTTGCCAGTAAGTGCAGGCTCATTAAAAGCAGCTCGTTAAAAGAAAAAATACAAATCTAATTATAGCTGAAATACAGTAGAGAATTAAACTCTACTCTCTGTGGCGTAACACTGTGTGGTTATTGAAGGGGGGATGCCAGAGGGAAGGATGCAGGCAGGGTCTGCAGGCAGCACACCTGACCGCAGCAGGTTCAGCCCATGACAGTTACCCCACGGAGCTGTGGGGAATGGCAAAGGAAGATAGGTCAGGGTTCCCAGACACGGACAAAATGCGTTTCTTAAAGGTCTGCCACAAAAGCTAGGCTGGGACTGTGACCTTTACAGGAGAGAAGCAGGATGAGAGATGAGTCTTGACAGCTCCACACGCTCTCCCTCCCCACTCCTAGCAGTGCCTGCCCAAAAGCCTCCTCTCTCCTCAAGTGAAAGTCAATGCAGCAATGCTGAAGGGATGCAAGATGCCATCATTAGCCACAGCCCTGGCTCCTACAGCATCCACAAGCCAACCCATCTCCAAGTGGAGGAGGTGCCCTCTCCAGCAAAGAGTCCCTTTGGCTGGACCACACGCTACAGAGGGGCCACTGGATCCTGCAGCGCTGGCAAGTGGTAGGTGACCATTGCAGGAAGACCCCATCCCCAAATGTACCAACTCCCAGGACCTGCCTGATGAAGCCAAGGTCATTACACACACCCCCAAGTTGCCACGTTGCCTTGTGTGGTACCTGGGTACCAAGACGCTTCAGTCCAGGGGAGAGGAGAGGGCTTCCAGCCACAGGGCATCTCCAAAAACCCCTTGCAAAGAGCCAAGGGGAGAACAGAGGAAACTCAGCCAGGAGATAGATGGAAGGGGACACCCTGGAGCTCTTCCACCCATGTGGCTCCACCTCCATCACCAGGTGGGAGTGTTGTACTCCCGGAGAGCCCTATGCCGAGCTCTGCGCCCAGGGAGGCTGAGGCACCACTGCAGAGAACAGCCCAGCAGTTTCTTTCTCCTTCAGATCCCCAGTACTGCTGCCAGGAATAAATGCATAAGGATTATCCTTCCCTGTCAAGAAGAGAGGGAGAAGGACTCAGCAAGAGATTTAAGCGCATATGGTGCATGAATGAGCGGGGGATGGCTGGTGGAGGAGCCTTCTGCCAGAGGTGCGCAGGGCTTGGGGACGGTTTCTCAACTTGCTGGAGAGACGTTTGCTTCTTGCAAAAAGTCCAGGCAGAGCCTTCCCTGCCATGTCTGGAACAACCAGAGAGAAACGGTGGATTTGGGCTGGTTGGGATTTATATTTTTCCATACAAATGTATTTAATTACCCTGAGAAGGCCTCCCAGAGACAGAGGGGAAAAGCATTAGGATATTCCGGCTGCGTACGATACCTCCCCTGCTCCTGCAGGAGCAGTCTCTGTTCCAGGCTGATTGCTTTCCCTCGCTCGTCTTTCTCCTGCACTGACAGCTCAGATGCACAGATGGACAAAACGTTCCTGGAGTATCTCAGACAGGAACAACACCCATTTCCCCCCTAAAAAATGCTTCTTCCCAGATGTGCCGGCCCTGGGCTGGGGAAGGATCCTGCTGGAGGGGAGAGGAGCCCACGCTGGGGGGTGGGATTTGCTACCAAATGACTTTGCCACCATGTGCCAAAAAGAGGGAGGGGATGCTTTTCCTGCCAACAGCCACTTTCACCTCCTTCCCCACTCAGCAGAGCATTTTTGTGGGGAGGAAGGATCATAAAATTCATTCAGAAGGAAGAAATAAAGCAACCAAAGCAGCCAACAATAAAAATCCCATTTCCTTACGGAAGGACAGCTTCATTTTAATGGCAAGGAGCATATGCTGCTCCCGTCAGCATCAACAGCAGCTCCTCAGCATCTCTGAAGTCAGGCAGTGGATTGGCAGAGCTGTCAGTCCTCCTGGCTGCCATGAGAGGGACCTTCACTGCCATGCCAGCAACACATCCCACTCTGGAAGTGCCTCTCCAGAGTGGGAAATGACCATGGTTTGCACCCCCATCCTCAAATGTGAGTTAAAAACATGGATCAGCAGCCAGACTGCCAGGTGAGACAGGGCACCAGTGTCCAAGCTTCCTAGGAGGGAGAGGGGAAGGGCTGGCTTCTCCCAGCTCCCACTAAACCCAACAAAAGGAACCGCTGTGGTTTCCAACACTCCAGATGTTCCTCTGGCCCCTGAAAGCTGGCACACACGGCTGCTTCCCTCGCATCCCCAGCACAGCTGCTTCTGCCCACTCTTGGCTCCCTCTCCCCAAGCACACTGATACCTCTGCAGATAAAAAGCAACTCCAAAAAAAGGTCCTTCATGTTAATTAAACAGTATTGTTTGAAAACAAACCCAAACCATCCTGCTTGTCTTGCAGGAAAGAAAGGGATAGTATCTGCTATGGGAAAATACAGATCTGATGGGGAGGAAGGTCAACTGCATGCTCATCCTCAAGGATGCCCTATCCAACAGCCCAAGTAGAGGTTTTGCTCCATTCCCCAATTCCCACTGCACACCCCTTGAGACAGGCCATTCAGCCATCAGGGAGTTTAGGAACTGGCCCCAAGTAAAGGCAATAAAAGAGCCAGTGAGAGAGAGGCAGAGAGAAGTGATGTGCTTTAGGAAGTGAAAGCCTTTAAGTCTGTGGGTTTTTCACAGATGTCCCCCCAAGGTTTTGTTATATTAATCCCTTAATGGGTTTATGGTAATTGTACACATGCCAACATCGAGCAGGCGATCCTTCTGCTGGGGAGTGCTCCTGTGCTGGGGTAAAGCACCACTGAGGAGATCAGACTCAAATCCCTGGCTCAGGCACAGCCCTGACTGGAGCTGGATCAGACGCTGCTCATGGCTGCAAAGCTGCAAAGCCCTGGAGTAGGGGACTGGATGCAGGAAGGGCCATTAGGCCATTGCCACAATGTTTTAAACAGCCCAATACTACAATAGTGGCAGCAACAGCACTGAGGAAGAGACAATTGCTGGAAAGGAGAAAGATAAGACCTTGTGCTAACACTGTGCTGTACAGACAACTGGGGCAACCCAGGCTGCACTTCCAGCTCTGCCACTGACTGGTGCATGCCTGTGGGCAAGTAACTGAGGACAGATTTTTCTCCCTTTAAGGCACTCTGACATGCAAAAGAGCCCACAAGCTGGGTTTCCAAAGCTCCCTTGTCTTGCAGCTACCAGCTCCAGACTGCTGGCACAGGAGCAACTGCCCACGTCATGACAGGGAGCGTGGACACAGAGCATCGTGGTGGCACTGCCACTTCCCCTCTGTGGACATGGCTGGGCCAGGACGGGGTGTAAGGCAGCACACAGAAGTGAGGATGTGTGCTCCCCTCCAGCCCACAGCCTCTTACCTGCTTCTTCTTCAGCTTGGAGATCTGCTGCTCCACCATGGTGATCTCGCGGTCCACGCGGTCCATGTTCTGAATGAGCTCCTCCTTGGAGAGCCGGGCAGGCAGCAGGTCCAGCTCGGCATCAGGGTGAGCAGGGCTCACGGGCGACACGGGCTCCAGTTTGCCAGGCAGGCCACGATCCTGGGGAGCATGAAAACAACCAGGTCAGCTCTTTCTTTCCCAGGAGACGTTGGATCCTTCTCTCATCCTCCCACGTCAGCTGCCACAGCTCCCTGGCCCATTCCCAGCCCTCTGAGACACACACACCCCTCAAAAAACCTGCTAGACGAAGCAGTTCCAGCTGCCAGATCACATCACCGCAGCTCTCCACAACCTCCAGCACCTCCAGAGAGCACCAGCTTAGTCTCCCATTGATGTGGCAGCAGCTCTTCCTCCTGCCAAAGCCTTGGATGCTCCTTCAGTGCTACCCGCATTCCTACAGATCAATAAACCCATCCATATTCAGGAGCTCCCAGCAGCACTGTCCCTTCACATCTCAGCAGCCAGCTCAAGGCTGCATCTTATCCACAAAAATGAGGTAGCCACAGACACGTCCTCCTCTGACACAGCCATGGCCATCCTGGAGAGAAGAGCAGCATTAACCACAGTGAATGAGAGGGGACTACAAGGGCAGGACCTCCATCTTATAAATTCTCGGGAATGTCCAAGTGCTGGATGTCAAATGCATCCATCCAGAAACAGAGAGAAAAGGGACAGGTGAGGTCAGCTCAGGTAAAACCAGACCAAACTGATCAAAATCAGTGTCCTTTTTGCAAATTCCGGGTAAAGAGGCTCTGAACACAACAAGACCCTTCAAGTCTGAGACTGGACAGATCAGCATAACCTCTGTGGCCATCGCAGGGAGCAGCTCTAATGACCATAAGCTGGGGGCACAAGGGGAAACAGATCAGAACGTTCAGCATCACCTCCAGCACTGCAACCACTTTGTAGAGCCCAACAAGCCAGTTATCCCAGGAGCATCCCAGGGCCACGCTGCCCTTCCCCTCCCCAGCTCCAAAGGAAAGGAGTTCACCTCCTGCAAACACAAGCTGCATACCTGGCTGCCCACCACTGGTCAACACACCTGGGCTGAAGCAGCTCCTTAACAGCCACCAGGTGAGGATCACAGTACACCAACAGCCTGTCCTGACCTGGGACTCTCCTCTTGGGCAGCTTCCCAGCACATTAATTAAAAGTTTACCTATTCACTTGCTTAGCAAGTGGACGGATTTCTTTCCTGGAGCGGCAGGAAGAGAAGCTGCGGGTTGGTAAACTGCTGCCAGGCTGGGTGGCCAGAATGCTGCAGCTGCTGGGGAGGGGAGGGAAGGGGAGGCCAACAAGTGAGGTTCACACCACTTCCCTACCTTCATTTCAGCACCCACAGACAAAGCCAACATTGTTCTGCACCAACTGGTGCTGAGTGTCCTCCCCTCCATGCTGACACACAGCCACCAGCCAGAGCTACCACTGACCCTCTCCCTGGGCTGATCCTTGTCGGAATGAGGGTGACAGGATGGAGCTCGGTGGCATGGAGGCAGCGTGAACCCCTCTGTGCTCCTCTGCCTAGCAAGGCACATGAATGATAGCCTTAGGTTGTCTACCAGCCGTGTCACAGCTCACACCAAAGGTGGCAAGTGTGCTGATGCCACCTTGGTGCTGTTGAGCATCTACTGACCATGAAGCAGAACCCACACAGGGTGAACTGCACCCTGCTGCTGGTGGGGATGAAGTATGGTGAGCTTCCTCCTGGGGATGCTGCACCCACAGCCCCACAGAGGACCTGGCTGGTGGGGCTGTGCTGAGATGAGCTCTGCCCTGCTCCACTCCATAAAGGATGGGCAACATCATCCACAGCAAAGCTAGAACAAGGGGAAGCAAAAGAGGATGTTTCCCAACAAAGCAGCCATGTCCCAGGACACCAGCATCCTCCACTGGCACCTTGCTCCTCCTTCCTCCCTGCTAAAACCTGTTCTAGCTGAAGGAGACATCAAGGCAGCCAGGGAGGAACCACTGCTGGGTGCAGCCTGGAGGCACTGACACCCTTCCCACTGCTGCCATCAAGGGACAGAAAGCAAAGGAGCAACCTGACATCCCTTTCTCAAGTCCTGTGTGGGGCTCATCCAGCCCTAAGAGAAAAAAAGGCACCAGCAAGCTGAGCTGGTTGTTTCCAGTGTCCATTCAGAAGAGAAGCTAGAAGAATTCCAAAGGTTTCTGGAGAATCCCAAAGAGCAGGTAAATCAGGTGTTCATAAAATCTTGTTCAGATTAAGACATGGGAATAGGAATTGGCAGTGGCTCGGAGATGTGTATGTTTTTCCAATGAAAAGTAAGCTACCTGCCAAAAATGCAGGAGAGAGACTTCTCTCTATGCACATGAAACAAAAGATACCATTTCACATCTGCCAATATACAAGACAGGGTATCTTTAAACCCTTGCTTGGCACAAAACCCTTTGGAAACCTTGTTTCTGGTACTTTATTTTCTTCCCTTGCAGAACATGAAGTGAAACAGCAGCAAAGCTGAGTAAGGGGAACAGCTGCAAGTCACAGCACAAAAACCATCATCATCTGGTATTAGGAGATGATTATAGCAATAGAGAGAAGCAGTGCCCCTAGACCTCAAATAACTGGTCACTGTCATTTCACAAGCACCTCTCTGAATAAAATGACAAACAGTGAGAGGAAGAGAAAACGAAAACTGAAGGCATAAAAAGAATCTTGCCTATGCAATGGTGAAGTGCAAAAAGCAGAGCTCAGGGTTTAGGCAAGGCACGAAGAAGCCCTTCTTCTAAATCACAAAAATGAGTTGAAAAGAGGTTTGTAAAGACCAGAGTCCACCCAGCGCCTGGGGTGGACTCTAATGGATGGAGATATTTCGCCTCATGCTCTGCTGGCTGGCACTCTCAAGAAGCTGCTCGAAATATATTGCTCTGCTTCAGACAGTCTCATAGCCAGGCTTGAACAAGTGCAGTGTGAAACGTGAAATTCTGCTTATTAACATGAAGTCACAGACTTGGAGACCAGCGAGAGCCGGGAGAGCTGGAATAAATCTGCTGGAGGAAAGAAAACAATTACTGCATTACTCCAGTTGGTATTTTCTCAGTAATTATACTGTTTCCATGTGATTTGTTTTTATACATGGCTAACAGCTACTGTAGTTCCTGTTTATCCCTGGCCTTATTATGTGATTTATATGATAACAAGGGTGGGTGAGTGGGGGGCAGAGGCTGCATAAACCTTCCCACAGCAAGAGGAGATGCTGGCACTGAAGAAAACAATTATCACTGAGGAGTCTGTCAAAGAGCAAGGCCAGGCTTCGGGGGTGGCTTTCCTCTGCACGCTTTTATTCCTAACATAGATAACATTAACAGAACAAGCCTGCTATGTGCTATTAGGCAGTGGCTTTAAAAACATGGGGGAAAGAGGGGAAAGGGAAAGGGCAAGCCAACTACCTGTCAATGCCCTGAAGAGCAAATAAGCTCCTGGGTAAATTCAACATCTCTGCCTTCAGGCACACCAGCAACTGGGCCCACAAGAGAGAATATGGTGAGAACACCAACCCTGATCCCAGGACATGCCAGAACCTGCAACAGACTCGTCCTTATCTTGCATTACTGACCCACTGGCAATGCTCCCAGGGAGCTCATGGGAGTTGGTGGGATGGAGAAGGGTGTCTGTGCCATTCAGCAGCCCAGCCTCTGCGAAGGGCAATTTTCCTCAGCCACTTCCCACCCTCAGGAGATGGCAAGTTGGTAGCTCCACTCCATCTGCACCTGATTCTCACTGCAAAAAGCATTTTGACTTTCTTGATCCCTTGGCCACACCAGCTGCCTCTTCACAACTACACTGGTGGAGCCCCAAAGCCTCCACAGCCCCAGTCAGTGCCTGTGCATCACTGGCGGAGAACAAGCAGACAGATCCACTTGCTTGGTACAACGCTCAGGATCCCTAGCACAGCACCATGGTGTTTGTCCTACCTATCATCTTCAGTACATCCTGGTCTCTCTCTGCCTTTCTAAACCAGATCATGAACAACGTTTCCCCAAGCCCAGGACAGAGATTTGGGGATGCCAACGTCACCTCTTCCTCAGTCTGTTCACTTTCTAATTATCAGGCAGCAGCAGTGTTTCTGCTGGAGCACCGGGAGGGATTAAGAGGTGTTATCTCCAACTCCTGCCCACTCACACATCTCACATCCTCGCGGGATGGAGGAGATTGCCAAAGCAGGCAGGATGGGCCAGGGCTGCTCAAATTAATTCCCTCTAAAGAAACACATGAGCAAGTTGTGGGCTTGGGATCAGAGTGGGCTGTGTGTGAGGATGCCTCCATCACCCGCGCACAGAGGAGTGAGCATCACTGAACTCCAACTAACAACACTCCCAAAATCCCATCCATGTGAGGCTGTGCTACATGGCAGAGTCACAGCAGCTTGTCCTCCCTGTCCCGGAACACGGCAGAGCAGCAGACGCACAGCCCCAGGGCCTTCCCACACAGCCTGGGATGAAAACCAAGCACGAAGGCCAACACCCCACACCTCCATCCACCAGGTTTTAAGGTAAAAACATGCATGTAAGAACTCTTAAATGAGCCAAACACAGACCAAAGGAATGTTTTTCTTAATTGGAAAAGTGTCCAACACGTTCTGTTGTATCAGCAGCCCCCAGATGACAGCACTAACATGGGGGAAAAAAGAGCCAAAGGGCTGAAAACCAGCATCTCATTTCCCCAGGGAGACACCCAAGTACAAAGTCAGAGCCTGAGCAGTGAAAAGTACATCGAGTTTTTTACAGTTCTTTTGTTCATGACCATCTGCTGCACTAATGGCTCCTTCAGCAGCCCAACCCTTCAAACAGGGTTTTAATTCTTAAGCACTGCTGGGCTCTCAGCTCAAAAGGCTGCCACAGTGGGACATAGATGTGCATGTTGGTGGATGCAGTGTCACTCCCACAGTGCTGTTCACCAGCCATGAGCACAAGGGTGTTCCCATACAAGGCTAACAGTGTGCCTGATGCCCAGGGACCAAGGCATCACCCGCCTCCATCCCCGCACTCCATGGTGCTTGCAGAGGGAGTGAGAAAAACAGGGATCGCTTTCACTGGATGCAGCCCAGTACGTGCTCTCATGGGAATTCATGAAGCTGGAG